CCCATTGGTCTATAAAAGGGGGGGGACAGGGCACCCCACTAAGGACGATGGATCGATTCCACACACAACACACAGCCAAGTAGCAACCAAGCTCTTGGCATCCGTTTGACCTTTCCATCAGAGACTGGGGACCTGTCCCTCTCTCGACCGTTTGTACCCCCTACTACGAACCTTTTTTGGTACTAATAACACGAGCAGTAATAAACTGGACGTAGGGATGTTCTGCCCGAACCAGAATAAACCTTGTGTCCTTTAGTACACCATCCGAGCCTAACGCACAACAATTATAAATTTACTAGTTGGTGTTTGTTCGAAACACCGATAGATAGTGATGATGATGATGAACCCACTAAAGATGAATTATTTGACATGCTAGAAGATGCTAACGAACACTTTGACATTAAGAGAAGGGAATGCAAGAGCTTGAATAAGGAAGTAAAAGCCCTTAAGCAAGCCCTTGATGAGCTCAAAAGCAACTCATGAGAGGCTAGAGGAAGTCCATGAGAAGCTTGGTAAGGCTCACAAGAAGCTTGAAAAAGCTCATTCGACTTGTAATGTAGACTTAACTTGCGACCTAATTAATGAATCATTATCTATGCCTATCATTATTGCTCCCACTAACCCTTCTTGTAGCACTTCTACTTACACCTCATCTAGTAGTGATGGTTTCACTTATGATGCCTCACTAATGGTTGAGAACGAGACCCTTAAGAAGGAGGTTAATAAGCTCACTCAGACCTTGGCTAAGGCCTATGGTGGTGAGGACCGCTTGCGTTTGTGCTTGGGTAGCCAAAGAGCTTCTCTCTACAAAGAGGAATTGGGCTATACCCCCAAGAAAGGCAAGGCGGCTTTTGATCCTCACAAGACTAGTTTTGTGAAGAACAATGGTCGGTTTTGCACTAGTTGCAAGCAAGTTGGTCATAAAAAACATGAGTGCAAGAACAAGAGCAAAAATGCTAATGTATCCTCCATTAAGCTTGAATTTTTCTATATGCTTACCAAGGGTGCAAATTGTGTAAAGGCTAACTTTATTGGTAAATCATGGATGGGCTCAAAGAAGAAAGTTATTTAGATGCCAAAGAGCTTGGTAACTAACCTTCATGGACCCAAGCAAGTTTGGGTACCTAAAAAATTGATCTTCTTTTGTAGGTCAATTACAAAGCCGGAGGAAGACATTGGGTTCTTGATAGTGGGTGCACTCAACACATGATCGATGATGTAAAAATGTTCAACTCAATCAACATCGATGACAATGATGGTTATGATAGTATTACATTTGATGATAGTACTCATGGACACTCCCCATGGAAATATTAACTCTAGGTCATCAACCTCGTCGTTTGATGGCTGCTGAGAGGAAATCAGACATTCAACTTGATGAATCGGCCCCCCGATGTAGCATGTGTTGTACTAGACGATTCTGCCGCCATTGTTCTTTCATCGTTCTCGACGAGTGTTTCGGTCTAGTTCTTAAAAAAACAGAAAAGCCTAAGCTTCTAGAAGCTTTGGTTCTCCCATCCATCTGTTCTGCCCAGATTCAGGCTTCCTTGCTTCGTTGTCGTCGTCTTCCTCGGTTGCTCCGATGCAGCTGTTGATGATGCGTCCTTGTCCGCCTGTGCATGCTATGTGTTCCTTTTCCCTCGTCGTCATGTGGCAGGCAGGCGAGGTGGACTGTAGCAAGCCCAACCCATAATCATCGTGTCGATCGATGACCCGTCCATCCGGTGCTAATGTAGTAATGTGCGTGCCCTCACCGTCGATGGAACCAACGGTTAGTCTCCAGTGTTGTTCCTGCTTTTACTCTATTCAGAATTGAGATGCGATTTGAGGTGGTATGAATGCTCTGCACTATAGTAAGCTGCACTGATTGAATACGGCACTGTTATGGATGTTGCCGAACCGAACCGATGGATTTAGGGCGTGTTTGGTTTCCAGCTCCTAAATTTAGTCAGCTAAACTACCTCCTATGTTTTAGTTGGACAGCGTTTGGTTTGGTGGACTAATTGTGACTAAACTTGACATGTGCATGTTTAAGATGACCAAAACGCACCTAAGCTCCTGCCCCTGGCATTTGGCCGACGGGGAAGGGGAGGAAGGACCATCGACCGTCGGAGAAGGGGAGCAAGGAGAACTGGCCGACGGAGAAGGGGAGGAAGAAGTGCCTGCCTGCCGGTGAGCTCCAGCGAGATCCGGTCAAGATGAGCTCGACGTGTGAGATCCGGTGAGCCCCGTCCCTAGCGCGCGCGGCCGGCCCGGTAAGCTCCGGCGCCGTCCTATCCCCAACGCGTGCAGCCGGCACGGTGAGCACCGGCCACGGGCAGTGGCGGCGCCAAGGGCTCCGTCGTGCATGCGTGCCTGGAGCCCCGGTCTTGAGCGGGTGGGGGAAGCGACAATTTGGTGGTGTGGGGCTGTGGTGGCCAGGTGGTCTGGTGGGCAATTGGCGGTCAAGGGCAGCAATGAAAGCGAGGGCGGTAAGCCCGCCGTGGGATTGCATTGGCGCCGAGACAGGCAATTATGAGAGGCACCATCAGTCCGTGTGGGTTTTAGTCCCTTTTAGTAAGCTTTGGGTGGCTAGTTAGCTAAATACCATTTAGTCATATTTAGTCAAAATATTTGGCAAAAAAGTTACTAAAATGGACTAAAGATACTAAATTTAGAGCTGCTGGTTTCTGAAATCATCGGTCCATCCATCAATTATCAATTATTAATTATCATTACTCTACTAACTTAAGTACGGCTTCTGGTTTCTACGCGGTCGCTCTGGCTGGCCTCTACCTCGTCGTCTCCATCGTGTCGTCACAAGAAACCGGTCGAGCTTCTAGAAGCCTGCCTGCAGCACACGGGAAAAGTGCAGTTTGAGGCCGAAATGCATGATGCATCTTTGCTTTTATTAGTGTATATAAGTATGCGTAGTAAATCTTTTAAGTACTTGTATGCAAAGGTAAGGATACTGATGGACACTCCCATGGAAATATTAACTCTAGGTCATCAACCTCATCGTTTGATGGCTGCGGAGAGAAAATCAGACATTCCTTTCATCAATCTCGACGTGTGTTTCGGTCTAATTCTTAAAAAACAGAGAAGCGTACGCTTCTAGAAGCTTTGGTTCTCCCGTCCATCTGTGCTGCCCAGATTGTCGTTTTGGCTTTTGCTCGTTTATCTTATAATTCGTCTTTTTCAGCTTGTTTTTTTAGTTAGAACAGTGTTTCTTTTTCACAACAAATCAATCGAAACAGTGTTTCTGTTTGTTTTTTCAACGAAGCGAACTGCCCGATGCGTCCTCGTCCGCCTGTGCATGCTATGTGTTCCTTTTCCCTCGTCGTCATGTGGCAGGCAGGCACGGTGGACTGTAGCAGCCCACCCCATAATCATCGTGTCGATCGATGACCCGTCCATCCGGTGCTAATGTAGTAATGTGCGTGCCCTCACCGTCGATAGAACCAACGGTTAGTCTCCAGTGTTGTTCCTGCTTTTACTCTGTTGAGAATTGAGATGCGATTTGAGGTGGTCTGAATGCTCTGCACTGTAGTAAGCTGCACTGATTGAATACGGCACTGATATGTATGTTGCCGAACCGAACCGAACCGATGGATTTAGTTTCTGAAATCATCGGTCCATCCATCAATTATCAATTATTAATTATCATTACTCTACTAACTTAAGTACGGCTTCTGGTTTCTACGCGGTCGCTCTGGCTGGCCTCTACCTCGTCGTCTCCATCGTGTTGTCACAAGAAACCGGTCTAGCTTCTAGAAGCCTGCCTGCAGCACACGGGAAAAGTGCAGTTTGAGGCCGAAATGCATGATGCATCTTTGCTTTTATTAGGCCTTATTTAGATGGCTTCAAAGTTCCAAGTTTTTTCACTTTTTCTATTACATCAATTTTTGGACGCATATATGGAGCATTAAATATAGATAAAAAAAATAATTAATTGCATAGTTTGGTTGTAAATCACGAGAGGCGAATCTTTTGGCCTGGGTTAGTCCATGATCGGACAAAGTTTGTCAAATACAAACTAAAACACGTCTATAGTGATGTCAAATTGCAAAATTTGCAATAAACGAGGCCTTAGTATATATAAGTACGCGAACGCGAGATATGCATGGCCATGGCCTTTATATAAGCAACCGGAATGTTTCGCCAGAACGCGACATATGCAGGACCGAGTGGCGACGGCGGCGGACAGGACAGACCGAGTCGCCTATGTCGTACAGCCTGCTACATGAGGACCGTGATCCTTCAACTGTAGAGAGGAGTCAGCCAGATCGACCGCAGAGGATCTTGTTCTGATCAGGCGAACTTGGCCAGTTTAGATGCGAAAATTTTGATTTTGAAAATGACACTGTAGCAGTTTTCGTTATTATTTAATAATTAGTGTCAATCATAATCTAATTGAAACTTAAAATATTTGTATCGTGAATTTAATCTAAACTGTATAATTAGTTTTATTTTTATTTATATTTAATACTTTCATACATGTATCAAAAGATTTGATGACGAAGAATCTAAAAAATTTAAATTTTTTAAACAGGGCCATTTTGAGGTGCAACTAAACAGGGCTCGCCGGCACAATTGTACGTAGTATGTACAGTGTTTTTTTATTACTAGTACTCGGCTAGCAATAGCAAAAGCATGGCTGTAGGACAAGAGCAACAAGAAACAGTCTGTGTCCTTCACCTCGGGACAAAAACACCACACTCATCTCTCATCCAATTTCACACTCACCACCAGCAACAAAGCAGGAATCTCTCTCTCTTTTCTCCACCCATGGCTCCACGGATCTGGCTGGCCTCCACCGCCTCCTTCCCCTTCCTTCGACGGCAGGTCATAGTAGTAGCAAGCAGATGCGCAGATCCATGGTACATGAGGCGCAGGTCTCGACCAGATCCAGCAATGGCGGAAACGGTGCACGGACATAGGAGTACGTACTAGTACTAGTATCCTTTACGTCTCTTGGTCGCGGACGGACGGGACGAGGAAGTACTCAGAGATCGCGATCCTCAGATCCGGACGGACGCGACGGAGAAGACGAAGCCGGCGAACTCGGGCGGCGGGCGCACGACGGTCCAGCTCTTGGTCTTGACATCAAACACCCACACGGCATGCCGCCCACCGCCGCCCTCCCCATCAAGCGCCCCGGTCACCACGACCTTGTCCCCTCCTCCCACGCATACAGCGCGCGCCGTGCCGGCCTTGAGCCCCGGCGGGTAAGGGCCGACCTCGCGCCACCCGCGCCGCATCCCCATCCACTCCATGACGGCGTTGCCCTCGATGCACCAGACGCGCCCTTTCACAACGACGTGGGCCGCGGAGGGCGGAGCCCGGACGCGCTCGAGCCTCCGCCAGGCGCCCGCGGCGGGGTCGAACCACTCCGCGTCACGCTCGAACCCGCCCTGCCGCGCCGTGCGGTACCCGCTGACGGCCAGGAACCGGTCGCCCGCCACGGTGGCCATGCCATCGCACTCGTCGCGCTCCTCCGACATGTCGGGCAGCGGGTCCCACGCGTCGGCCTCGGGGTCGTAGGCCTCCGCCGTCTTGAGCGCGTTCTTGTGCTTGTCGTGGCCCCCGGCCACGTAGATCCTGCCGCCCGCCTCAGCGCACGCGAAGAAGGACCGCGCCGAGCGCATCGGCGCGCCCCGGCGCCACCGCCCCGTGGCGGCGTCCAGGACGTGCACGTCGGCGACGGGCTCGAAGGTGCGCGGGTCCCAGCCGCCGAGGACGGCGAGGCGGGTACCCACCGCCGCGCACTGCGCGAAGACCGGGACCACGGGCGGGGCGCCGCGCTCCCGGCGCCACTGGCCGGTGGTCACGTTGTACACCGCGACGCCGTAAATGGGGTGTTGGCGGGCCCGTCGTCGTCCTTGGGCCCGTCGGCGTCAGCGGCGGACGGGTTCCCGAACTGCATGAGGTAGACGAGGTCCTCGTTGGCGCCCGCCTGCGCGCGCGCGGAGGCGAAGGCGGGGGTTGCGGCGGCGCTCCGCCAGCCCCGGCAGACCCGGCGCATCGCGCGGTGCGAGGCGTGCGGGACGCGCGCCAGGCAGTCCACCGCCACGTCGTCGGGGATGCTCGGGATCAGGTCCACGTGCTCCTGGCCGGCGCCGGCGCGCCGCGGTAGAAGCCGCCGACGCCGCCGCCTCCTCCCTCGGGCTCCTCATCTTGGGTTTCTTTCGGCTTAAGTGTGAGCTCAGCTTTGCTCTCTTGCTCTCCTCTCTCTAGAACTCTGGGATGAGATGAGATGAGACGAGGGATGTGCGCGGCCTCCCGGAGCGGCGGATGGGGGATTAAATAGAGGGGTGCCCCTGCGACGTGCCGCTGCGTTATTGGACCGAACGCACAGCGAAGCCGATATAAAAACCCTGCAAACGGGTCGTGATAAAGCTGGGGTTTTCTGCCGGGTTTTGATGAATTGATGCTTTTTTCTGTTCATGGAAAAGTTTGCATCTTTATGCTACTACTAGTCCTAGTGGACTCCTCATAGGGTAGAAAAACAAAACAACAAAGGATGAAAAGTTTGCAACCTACAGATGTGACTGAAACATTTTTTTTACATGCTTGTGGATCTAGAAGGTCTTGGTTCTGTACAGCGTGTAGATGAGCACAAGGAGGAGGACGGAGCTGCAAAAAATAACTCGTGATGTCTCCGTTTGGGAGCAAATGGACGATGCAGGCTGCTGATTAAAGGGTGACAGTGACACTGACCTGCGTAGAACAAGTGGGCGTTTGTCTGCTCATAAACCATGGGTGTCGTCCAATTCCTGACGGCCTAACGGTATCTCCATCAGCGCATATCTAAACCAGAGACCCACTTCATAGTTTGGGTCACCCATAATGAAAGGAGCACACACCTAAAACTTTCATTCTCCAGTAGCCTACCGAAAAACCCACCCCTCTCTCCTCACTCTCTCCCCAGCGCCGCCCGTTCCCGTCCCTCTCTACCCCGGTGCCGCCCCTCCCTCTCTTCCCTCCCTCGTTGAGCACGGCGCCCGTCCTTCCCAGATCCGACCGGCAGCGGCACCCCTCCCTCCCTTCCATCTAGGATCCGGCAGTCGCGGGTGAGGAGGATCCCGGATCCCCGCTCCCCGCCTCGCCGAGGTACCCGCCGGCCGCGCCTCGAGGCGGACCTCGCCGTCTGTTTCCGTCCCTTTCTCCCCTCCCTCGGTGAGCACGGCGCCCCCTCCCGAATCTGGCCGGCAGCAGCACCCTCCCTCCCCTCCCTCCCGGATCCGGTGGTCGCGGGCGAGGAGGCCCCCGGATCCCTGCTCCCCACCTCGCCGCGGTACCCGTCAGCCGCGCCTCGAGGTGGACCTCACCACGCCGGCTCGCCGCGGCGGTCCGCCTGCGCCGAGCTCGAGCTCCACGGGCTCCTCCTCCTCCTCCGCGTCCGACACCGTCAGCGGGTAGCAGTCCGCCAGCCACCAGTAGAACGCCGGGACTCGCATCTCCGACCGACCTGCTCTGCTGCCGAATCTCCTCCTTGCTCGGGCCTCCCTCTCGCGGGGTGGCGCTTCCGCTAGCTCCTAGCGCCGCATGAATGGCGGCGCACGGTGGTTCTTGCCTCCTCTTTGGTTCGATCTGGGGGACCGAGGAAGGTGAGCCCCCGCAGGGAAGGAGGAGGCGATGGCCTCGCAGCGCATGCGGTGGCTTACGAGCGGGTTGGGCTTCCATCTCAATGACGCAGATTTGCGTTCTCTCAAGCTTTGTATGCAAAATGGGTGAGGTGTTTGGGTCTTTTGTTGGAGCGTTGTTTTTAGGTAAAACACCATGAAGAACCTATTCTACGTTTGGGTCACGGTTTGCATGCTCTGTTAAAGAGTTTGGGACTTTTTTTTTGCTGCGTCGTGATCTCATCCATTGCACAGACAGCACCCCCCCCGCGACATGGTCTCGGTCTCCATAATCCGGATGTGATCGCAGAGATTGGTTCTCCTGTTAGCGAGCAATTTTTTACATTACAATTATCTTATCTTGCGGATTACTTGCAAATCTCGTCAAGGCCTTGTTTAGATTGCAAGTTTTTTCACTCTCTCTCCATCACATCAAATCTTTGGACACATGTATGGAGTATTAAATATAGATAAAAAAATAACTAATTACACAGTTTGATTGTAAATTACGAGACGAATCTTTTGAGCCTAGTTAGACCATGATTGAACAATAATTGTCAAATACAAATGAAAGTGCTACGGTACCAAATACTGATTCCTGACTTCAATCTAAAAAAAAAAAAGGCCTAGACTTTTCTCCTGCTTCTGTGTCTGAGATTTGCTTGTGATACGATACGAGGATATTTTTTTTGGATGGCAGGCAATGTCGTCTGTCTGTCTGTGTGTGCGCTTATCTCTGCATTAAGATTTTTAAAGCAACACGCTGAAACAAATCTGGCGGCCGTTGCGTTGCCGGAAGATACGGTTTGATGGTGACGTGTTGGGGCAGGCACTGAGGCACCTTGGCAAGCACGAATTTGGGCGGGCCGGCGATCGATGATGCTCTCACGCCATAAAGAAACGATAGACTAAGGGTGTGTTTAGATGCAAAATTTTTTGGGGTTTTGACTACTGTAGCACTTTTGTTTGTATTTGTCAATTAGTGTTTAATTATGGACTAATTAGGTTCGAAAGTTTCGTCTCGTGATTTCTCACCCAACTGTGTAATTAGTTTTTTTTTATCTACATTTAAGATCTTCGATGATGTGCCTTAAAATTTAATATGATAGCTGCACAAAAATTTTTTAAACAAACCCTAATGCTGATGCTGCTTCGTTAATTTGTCGCACTCTGCAAGCCAAGGCAAAAGCGGTGGGCGCGTGATCTGGCAGGCTTGCTGCCCATGCAGCCATGTTAATAAGTTTTGCTTATTTTTTTTTCCTTAAATTAAGAGGGTGTTTGGTCCTCCTTCTAAACTTTAGTCGTTGTTTCATCATATGTTTAGACACATGTATGGAGTGTTAAATATAGATTAATTACGAAACTAATTATATAGTTTGTGACTAATTTGCGAGACGAATCTTTTAAGCCTAATTAGGCCATAATTTGACAACGTGGTGCTATAGTAAACATGTGCTAAAGACGAATTAATAAGGCTTAATAAATTCGTCTCGTGAATTACTGGCGGATTTTGTAATTTATTTTTTATTAGTATCCGAACACCCCATGTAACACCTCTAAATTTTAGTCACTGGATCCAAACACCCCCTCAGCTTTGCTTATTAATGTGGTGACCCGGCAGTGCTGAGCCGATCCAGATGGCATTTTGTTCTGAGCAAATTAGGAAGTTGCTCTGCTAAGGGGTGTTTGGTTCCTTCTCCTAAACTAGTTTAGTCGTTGTCCTATTGGATGTTTGATATATGTATGGAGTATTAAATATAGACTAATTATAAAACTAATTGTAAAGTTTACGACTAATTTATGGGATGAATCTTTTAAGCCTAATTAGTCCATGATTTGACAATGTGGTGCTACATTAAACATGTGCTAATGACGGATTAATTAGGCTTAATAAATTCGTCTCGTGGAGTACTGACAGATTCTGTAATTTATTTTTATTAGTATCCAAACATCATATACGACACCCTCATATAACACCTCCTATATTTTATTGACCGAATCCAAACACCTCTGATTCATGGTAAAGGAAGAAAGGAGCACTTACAACCGATGTGGCTTAGATCTCACGTTTGGGACAGCATAGCTTACATCGTGTCCAGGTGACACTGTAGGAGCGTGAAAACACGATTTGGCCACAATCCAGCACGCGAGGGAGGGACTGTCGTGAGCGCGGTTCGTTGGTTCCTGTCATCGTCCCTTGTTATCCCAAAGCAATGCTGGCTCCGTTCACTTAGAAAAATTTAGAAGAATCTAGAAAAATCTATGAGAGAAAAATAATATTCTAAAAAAAAAAAAAAACACATCAAACCGAAATTAAGAGCACGCGAACGGAGCTCGCAACCCCAGGCCCTCGCAGCACGCTACGAGAGCGGTAGTAAAACCCTTTGACGGGGTGGCATATGGCAGATACATGCTCCTAGTAATAAGTAGTAGTAGCAGACAAAAAGGTTTATCTTAATCTTTCACGCAACTTGCTGCGCTTTGGCTAACTCTAACCCGTCACCGTGAGGCAAAGAGCGCACCGGCGCCGGTAGTTTTCTCTGATTCCATTGAAAAACGGGGCCATCGATCCAATCCGGCGGGTCCAGGTCCAGATCCAGCTCGGCGGCGAGTGAGCGAGCGATGGAGCAAGTCCATGACAGGGAGGCCCGTGACAGGTCAGTCCCACGCGGACTCGTACACCTCAGTCCTATCTTTATCTATACTAGTGCTACTCTGTCTGCATGGCCATCATCAATTCTGAGTCCTGGCGACACGCATCTGCATAATGATTCGTTTTTTGGATAAGGATGATGAGGCCCGCCGAGGACGGGGAGCCGGCGGATCATGGTGACCGGCCAGCACGGAGGCGGAGGCGGAGGGAGAGGCGTCACTTTCAGCGCCAGCGGCCAACGAGCCGGCCCCCGGCTATCTCGGCCCCATTGTCGTCAGCGCTGCCGAGCTCTTGCGACAGTGAGCAGCCCCCACCCGGGCTCACACACAGTTCTCCACGTCGTCGGGGGGCCCCGCGTGGCACATGGATAGGATAGACCATGCGGGCAGGGCAGGGGCAGCTCAGCGATTTATGCACGGGTTCCGTCGTATTCGTATCGGTCAAGTCATGAGTGATCGAGTGGAATGCAGAGCAGAGTGACTGCTTGCCCTGCTCGTGCTTGGTGGCTTCGGCAAAGTTTGGCATGGTAGGCAGCTGCCTGCCGGTGGGCGCGGTGCGTCTGCCCTCTGCCGTCTGCGGCGGGCGTCCGCCAGGGACGTGAGTCGTCAGCCATATATATATATATATATATATATATATATATATATATATATATATATATATATATATATATATATATATATATATATATATATATATATATTATGAAAGCCAAAAACTCTACTGATAACACTGTTTCAATTTGGTTTATGAAAGAAAAACTGCTTTGATTTGGTGGTTTATGAACAGTAACTTGAGAGGGGGATCAGCCTGCTAGCTGAAATTTCCAGACCAGCGAACGACCCCATATATATATATATATATATATATATATATATATATATATATATATATATATATATATATAAAATAAATAAACTGTAGCCAAAGAAGATGCAACAAGCAGGCTAAAAATTTGTGGTTTTTCTTGGTTTCTCTTCTTATAGCTTGTTTGGCATAATTTCTTATGGATCTAATAACTATAGCAGCACTGATTGCATGAGTTGTTTTGCATCTCCTCGCACTTGTTGTCCAAGAGATGCTCCTTCTTCCTTTTTCAGCAAGGCTGTTGATGATAAGAAGGAGTTCGAGGCCCCATCTACCGTTGATTGATAGATATAAGGAGTCACGTAGATTTAGTTTGTTTAGGAGAGGCCCCATCCATGGTTTACAAATATAAGGTACCAAGTAGCGTGTCCGTGCGTTGCTACGGAATAACTAATAATTTATACTAAAAATACATGAAGCGCACGATAAGATAACAATACTGTTAAATTAAATATCAACGTTAAAGTGACATTTAATCCAAAAAGCAAAGTTTATGAATTTAACACAGTCACAGAGTGCGCGGCGTCGCAGGCTCACAAACTCTAGAGTTTTCAGAGATTGGGTCGAATCTAACCTAGAGCTTCGGAACCCTACATCTTTTCCTGGACGGGTTTC